TGGGTAAAAGCACCTGTGTGCATGAGGCTTGAATGTTGTGTTTTTTGTTTTTTTTTTGCTTGTTCCCATAACCAGTTTATAGGGCTTAAAGGATAAGTTCACCTTTGGAACATTGTTCCATGTTCCACCCATTTTTAGGGTGTAACATGTTTCCGCAGCCACCCCTCCCACTGACAGAACGGGGAGAAGTTTCCCCATACTATCTGTCAGATCTGAAAACCGCTCTGCCCACACGGCCACATCACTCATTCAGTATTCTGTGAATGAGTGCCTACAAGTCCCGACAGCCTTAGCGGCTGTGGACTTGTAGTTTTCAGTGAACTACCATGGTGCTGTGGAGTGCTGTGGTTGTTCATTGAAGCTTCCTTCAGTATATCTGTTTGACTGTACATCCCTTAGGAGACCTGCATGGCATCGGCGATCTACTGATCTCTGGTGCAATGCTTTACAGGCTCCTTTGGATAAATAAAAATAGTAAATGCACATTTTTTTAACTGCAAAAAAGGTGAACTTATCCTTCAATCCTCCGATGTGTAAGTATCCATTGTGAACTAGATATGTTCTGTCCTACAAAAGGGTTAATCGATATCAAGCTTGGCTCTGTACTATGTTCACTTTTAGCCCAATGTGTCCCTGAACAGTAAGCATGTTGCAAGTTAATCTGAACAATACAAGCTGCCCATACAGTTCAGTGTATAATCCTCCAAAGATACAACTGGAAAGATACAAATAAGTGTGGCTTTTTTCCCTTTTTTTTTTTTTTTTTTTTTTTTTTTATAGGTACGGTATATAAATGGGGACACATGAAACCTAATGAAGGTGTCTCACATTTTTTGCTTCAAATGTAAAAATACACTTTAAAAACATACTCAGCATCTAATGTCTACATAGTGGATAAGCAGGAAGATGGGGGGGGGGGGGGGGCAGGCGATGAGGCTCTAGCGGATAATTTGCAAGTCTTTGCGAAGTAGCATAACAGAAGAACAAAAATTGCATGTGCGATCATAACATTAAAGTGGTTGTAAAGACTGAAGGTTTTTTACCTTCATGCATTCTATAATTGAAGGTAAATAACATGTGTACAGCAGTGCCCCCGCAGTCCTTCAATACTTACCTGAGCCCCATTGCTATCCAGCGATGTGAATGACAGCCTCAGCTTTCCTGGGTCCTCCACCTCATTGGCTGAGACAGCAAGCTGGAGCCATTGGCTCCCACTGCTGTTAATCAGACATACAGCCAATGAGTATAGAGGGGGTGGGGCCAGGCTGTGTGTGTATGGACACACAGAGCAGCGGGTGCCCCCATAGCAAGCTGCTTGCTGTGGAGGCACCTGATCGAAAGGAGGAGCCAGGAGAACCTGTGGGGGACCAGAGAAAAGGAGGATCCAAGCTGCTCTGTGCAAAATCACTGCACACAGCAGGTAAGTGCAGACATGTTTAAAAAAAAAAAAAAAAAAGAACCTTTTAGAATCGCTTCATGGTATGCAACAATTGTAAGTCAGAATATATGCTCACTGAAAATATTTTTTTTTTTTTAAGTGGAAACAAGTTAGTGTGAGGGTTTATTTAGTAAATCGACCTGTGTGCTTCAGGTATCCTGATCTGTGTTTTACATATTGAATGTGGTAGATACTGCTTTGTGCAGCTTTTTTGCTTCATGTTTTTTAGTGTACAGTTTTAGTTTTTATGTATAACTAGTCTTGCAGTCCATCTGATTATCAGCCATACCAGTGGTCTCCAGACTGCAGCCCTTTGCTTGCTATTGTCCGGCCCTTGGCCCACTTTTCATCCCACTCTCAGCAGCAATGGAGCATAGTTTGTGCCCTTGACACCTACAATGGGGCATTCTTTCTCTCACTGACACCAAAGATGGGGCATTCATTTCACCGACACAAACAATGGAGCACTATTCCTCCTCCTAGTACCGAAAAGAGGACACGGTTTATTGCCACTGGCCACAGTCCGGCCCTCCTAAAGTTTTAAGAACAATAAACTGGCCCTTTAGAAAGTTTGGAGACCCCTGAGCCATACCATCAAAACTCAGAAATGGCATTGTCTTCCATTACGTGAAGCAGGTTTGTCAAATATTTTGCATCTGTCCCAAAAAGACCCATTTAAGCGCCAAAATACTTTCATTTATTGTGCGTTCCAAGTGAGTCCCACCGATCACTCTCTACTGCTGTTTTGTCGTCTTGGCCACAACTCCTGAGGCAGTGGGTCTGTGCCACAGAACCTCAGTAAAGACCATGGTATTCATGACCCATATGGAGTGCACAACAGACAGGTATTTTCAGCACTTTGGAACAGTTGCAGCAGCCTGTTAGGCTTTAGCCTTTAGAGCAAAGCTCCATGTTAAATTACATGAAGTACTCCATATGATTAAAGAGAATCTTTACTACGGTTTGTATAAAACTTGGTAAATGGCAGTTAGTTGTCCTTGTGTTCAATTTCTGCATTATTGGATGAATGATTTAGATGACTAACTACTTTCCCTCCATAGG